ATCCACAGAGAGAGTTATAATGGCCATGCTGCACCCTTTCCATATTTAGTAACTCTGAACTTGGTTCCTTAGTGCTCAGCCTTCGTTTCTCAGATATCTGTCGGAGTGAGATTCCTTAGGCAAAAAAAATAAAAGTTATGTGGGGAAAAATAGGGGTATCCCAAAAACTTTCAGCACCTATAACAAAGTACAGTTCCTAGGATTCTTTGAGGGAAGCCAAAATTGTTAAAGTGGTATCACAGTACTTTAACTTTATGCTGCGAATATGGCCTGGCAATAAAAATAGAATAAAAGTAAAGAGCTAACAATTTGCTGGCCTCTCATGAAACTCAAGGTCTGCTGCTTAAAATAGATGGTTCACAATGCCTAGTGGTCCAGTTTTGCCTATGGCCCATACTTGTTTAAAAAAATTCTCTTATTTATTCAAATTTGGTATTTTCTTAACACACATACTTCAGATAAATTTTAAATAGTTCCTTAATGGACACAGTTTCCTGATGAAGTGCTATCACTAGATCTTTGAACTGAAATGTCTGCTTAATTTTGAATTTTTAGTAATTCTGTTCCTGCACCCACACATGGGATGCCTTTGCGCTGTAATCTAAGAACTTCCCACTTGCAGCACCACAGACTGAGTGGCTGCCTTTGGTCAGGCCACCAGTTGGAAGCAAGTCAAGCCTCAGTTCCCTTCTGTAAAATAAATGGGAAAGATAAAACTGAGCTTAGCCAATCTAGTATTTAAAAAAAAAACAAAAAACCATACAGAGCAGCACTAAAAGGTATGTAGCAGAAAGAGATAAAAAGGGACTTATTTTTATTTATTTCATAAAATTGATATACCACTTGATTGTAGAAAACCTCAAAGCAGTTAACAAAAAGTTTTTGTGGACTAACATCTGTTTAGAAACCCTGCTGCAATTCACAGCTCGGCCTATCCCAACTACACACTTGCTTGGGCACAGCAACATTTTATTTTAAATGCAGCAGTGAAGGAGCTTGCAATCATAAAGGCATGCTCCAGAATACATTGCAACATTGCAGAAAATGATGCGCATCACTCAGCCAAGAGGTGGACTCCAACCCTCTGAAGTGACCCTGGAATGATCCTAGAGCTATGAATGCAGCTAAACGTTCTGTGCCTTCTCTGGCCACTTCCAAGACCATAACACAGAAGAGTGATGACAGGTAAAAGATATCACACTAGCCTGAGCACTTGGAAATCATGGCTGGTACTGAGCTTTGTGCCTCCTCTCTTGAGGCATTGTGCCCTGTGCCCCATTCTCCATCCGAACCAAGATTAAAGCCCTGTTGGCATCCAAAAGGGACTATGGTGACCATTCATGCTTTTTAAAAAGTTTCAAAATAATGTCCCAATAACTTAATCTTAGGGACACGGGTGGCACCGTGGGTTAAACCACAGAGCCTAGGACTTGCCGATCAGAAGGTCGCGGTTCGAATCCCCACAACGGGGTGAGCTCCCATTGCTCGGTCCCTGCTCCTGCCAACCTACCAGTTCGAAAGCACGTCAAAGTGTAAGTAGATAAATAGGTACCGCTCTGGTGGGAAGGTAAACGGCATTTCCATGCACTGCTCTGGTTCGCCAGAAGTGGTTTAGTCATGCTGGCCACATGACCCAGAAGCTGTACACCGGCTCCCTTGGCCAATAAAGCGAGATGAATGCCGCAACCCCAGAGTCAGTCACGACTGGACCTAATGGGCAGGGGCCCATTTACCTTTTTAACGTAATCTCAGGGCATCCAAAAGATAGTGCTTTCTGTTGCATGGCTAACATTACTTCTCCAGCAATTATTATTCAGGAGGAAAATGTATATATGTTCTATAATACATCAGTGCTATTGAATCTTTAACAAGTTATTTAAATTATAGCTCACCATAATTTCAAGGAGTTACCACAGCTGCCTTCTAAAGCCAAATATTTTGCCAGGTCTGGGAGAAGGATGAATACATTATAATAATGCCTGCATTGAGCAAGGCTAGCACTCGTGACAACTGTTCTGTTTGAGCAATTTGTTACCACATCTCCAGCACAGTAATCTTTGATTTATCATTTGCATCCAAATGCGATGATTGATGGCTTCAGGCTCATCCCAGCATTCAGGACAAATGAACAAATGTAATCATGCCATACAGCTTTCAAGCATAGACAAATGACTTCATTGTTATCTGAGAGAGTGAACTGTCATATCTTTCCTATGATTTCACCAGTTCTATCAGCATGAATTAACTATTCTTGCAAACAATATGCCCAGCCCTGAAGGCAAGAAGCATTTCAACATCATTTTGGTTAGATTTCTATACCTGTTTGAAATCGTCTGGACCTACTTCAGTTTGATAGCTTTCAGATTGCTCTATATCAGTCTACCTGTTTTCCCCTCAGTATTTAGATGTTAGTGCAGATTGGAATGCTGTTCTAAAATACTAGAATTTTGGAAGTTTTGCTCTCCATCCCTGTGGTATATTGTTATGGGTTTGCAGTGGGTGGAGGAAGATCCCCTAAAATTCATGGGTGCCATGTTCTCCCCATAATTTCTTAAATTAGTAAATGTGGGGTTTGATCAATGGATTTAGCAACACCTTAAAAATAAGTCAGGACAGGAGTGCCTGGCGTCCATGGGGTCACAAAGAGTCGGACATGACTTAACGACTAAACAAAACAACAACAAAAAATAAATCAAGCCAACTTCCTCAGGAGATTGGCTGTGAGAAGTGCCATCAAAGAACAAAACAGGTGGTGGGAAAGTCATTACCCTGACAAAAGGCACCCAGCGGTGTGTTAATTAGCAAAAGACAACAGCAGAGTTGGGAGGGGGCAGTTGCCAGAGTTACAGGAGGCATGTTGTCACCACAGGAAAAAGTGCCCCTTTTGTTAAAGGGTTGCCTTTTAGCAAGGGTTTATGTCAGGCTTCCTCAACCTCGGCCCTCCAGATGTTTTGAGACTACAATTCCCATCATCCCTGACCACTGGTCCTGCTAGCTAGGGATCATGGGAGTTGTAGGCCCAAAACATCTGGAGGGCCGAGGTTGAGGAAGCCTGGTTTTGGTGAACTAGAAGGGTGGGGCTAGATGCCATGCAAGCTGACGGACAATCTGTGTGGCGGAGACATAGATACGGCATTCTGGCTACTTTTGAATCCAAAGCTGTGCTGCTGTGGGGAGCAAGCCCCTCTTGAGATGTGATGCACAGAACCCTTTCTCCATCCAGACTCAGGTGTAAATATGTGTAAACAAACCATATTTCAAAAAGAGACTACAGTCTACACTGTGCCTCATTTTTCCCAAAGGAAACACAAACCCTGGTTAAGTGTCAAAACCCCTGGAATCTCATACTGCTTGGCAGAGATTGGGGTGGCTGGTAAAAATATATCGTCTGATACTTTGAGCAAAGAACCAGTTGAATGAAGATTCAACCGGCCAACACGTGTACATGGACTAAAGGAAGCCCGTTTGTCCTTTGCTTCAGGCAGCAAAATGTTCAGGGCCAGCTCTGATCATGTCCCTAATTGCATCAGGGTGAAATATTAGTGTGAAACCTTCCAGCAGCCACCTAAGATGACTAATGCAATAAATAAACAAACAAAGAAGAAAGGGAAGGTGCTGTTTGTTATGGCATGACAATGCTAAAGTAAGTAGCATTAAAGTGGAAGTTGATAGTTCTTATCAAATATGGTTGGATGGGTGGATAGGATAAAGGTCATGTACAGATGTGGAAAACTGATATAAATACATGGTTTATAATGTAAACAAGATTGGGGAAAGACTACAAGAAACTTTCAGTTTACTTGCGTTATAGATCCTATTCCTGCCCTTGCCAATATTGTACCTCTTTACTGAGACTTTCTGAACATAGCAAAAGTAGCCTCTGTCCAGTGCAACTGAATCAAAAGGTATATAAAACACTTTATTGCAACCTGAGGCATTACAGCTTCATTAACTCCAACTTCTTTTTGGTGCCTGGTGAAGACATTGCTATTCTAACAGGCATTTAAGAGATAATGCCATTATGGTCTTTGCAGCCATTTTAATTAAGATGTTGGTGCTGTGAGGGGAGATATTATTTACTGTATGTTATAAAAGTGATAGTTTTAGTTTTGCTATTATTGATTTTAATGTCACATTTGTTTGAACTGTATTACATGGGTTGTTGTTTTTTCTACTGTGTGAGTCAGTGTGGGACTTTTTGGGGGAGAAAGGGCTAGACAACCAAGAAATAAAATATATACTTTTTAAAAATTCACAAGTTTCAGTATGTCCAGAATAACAATGAAGAGGCTAGTAGAGTAAGTGGAACAGGCTAGCAGAGCAACTCTGCATTACCAATGCACAGTACGGTAATTTAGTTATTTTATCTTAAAGAACACAAAACTAAACATTCACAAAGGGCACTCCACACTTCAGTGATAAATATCAGTGGGAGGCGGATAATACCCAGACAATCTAGTGCCATCCAGAATCTGCTAATACCCAGACAATCTAGTGCCATCCCACCAGTCCCAGGGTTGATGGAAGTTGTAGCCCAAAAATCTGGAGAGCACAGAGTTGGAGGAGAAGGCTGCCATAGCCTTGATTCTTATACTGTATTCCTGTTTCTAATTTCCCATTTACAGCTCACTTGCTTAGCCGGTGCCTCTGACCTACTGCAGTTTTTCTGACATCCTTTTGTCTACCTGGTATGTATGGAGTTTCACATACGACGTATTATTATTACCGGCATTATTATTATTATTATTATTACTACTAGTACTACTACATGTATTTTTATATCCCGCCTTTTCCCCTGACAGGGACTCGAGGCGGCTTACTGCTGAAAACACAGAATTCCTCGTGGAAGTGTTTTTGTTCTGTGTTCCGCGTCGGTTTCTTCTCCTTGCTAAAACGTGATGGCGGGAAAACCAAGACGACTATGGCAACACGTTAAGAGAAGTACCGCGGTCGTCCCCTACACCCGCCGCCGCCGGAAGGAAACGGCGGGAATCTTTGCCCGGCTCTGCGTCCTTTTCCTCGGGAAGGAGCCGCGCCGAGGTCCCGCCGAGCGAGCCGGCCAGCCTGCGCTTGGCGCCGAGGCCCCTCCGCCCCCCGGCGGGTGTACGTGTTGCCAGGCCGGTTTACACGAGTCACATGGGCGGCCCTTCGCGCCGCAGTTGGGTCGCCTTCGGGCCGCCGCCTCCCTCCCGCCTCCTTCCCGCCTCCCTGCCAACTGCAGCCTTGTCCCTGCGAAGGAGCCGCCGCCGCCGCCGAGGAGGGAGGGAGGGAAGGAGTCCCGCGGCTGCAATGGCTGCCACCGAGAGCCGGGAGCGGATCCTGTGCCTCTTCGACGTGGATGGGACCCTCACCCCGCCTCGCCAGGTAGCGGACCCCCCCCACCCCGATCCCCCCCCCTGCTTCGACGGCGCGCCCGGGTCGCCCTTGGGCGATCTTTGGAATGAATGGAGACCCCACGCCGGAGTCGCGCCTTTCCTGCGCCCAGATGACTGGGCGGCTGCGCTCGGGTTCTGGCGCTGGAGCTGCTGTCTGGATCGGAGTCCGGACCCAGCTCGCCCAAGCCCGGCAGAAGGGAAGGCAAGAGCGACGCTCCTCCTCGCCCACCCCACCTCTTCTTCTCCTTCCTGCAACCGGTTACGAAAGAGTTCAACCGCGGGCCAAGAGGTCCGTCAGGATGCAGGCAGGCTGCCGGGTCAGGTCTGGGCTTCGCTGCAGGGCATCTCCGCTAGACGGTTACGTAAGAATGGTGCGCATTGGACCGGACCGCCGACGTGCATCTGCAATATTGCAGCACTTAACGGCGCAATCCTCTGCAGGGCTCTTCGGAAGGAAGTCTCGCTGTGTTCAGTGGGGTTTGCTTCCTAGCAAGGGTGCCGGAGCGAGGACGGCAGTCTTAGCGCCGCTGGACACGCTGGGAGCAACTTTTGAGCAAACATAGGCTTGAGCTATCGGTTTCCACAAACTGGTCAGCTAGGTGCAAACTCTAGGAAGCTCACAAGCAAGGCAGAATCTGATTACTTACTTCTTGGTCCTAGGATCTGGAACTTGGAGGCAGGGATGCCAACAGGATTTCCTGGGTCCTGTATGCTGTATGTGGGTTGGGTCCTTGCATTGGCAAGAACTGCTTCTTAATCGCAGTGGCATAGCATAATCGCAGTGACATAACAGGGGCGATTGCCCTGGGTGCAAAATTCTTAGGGGTGCAAAATTTCATAAGAAAAATAAAGAAAGTAAGTAGTAGTATTAGTAGTAAAAAAAAAAAAAAGAGGAGATTGTTCTCCTCCATCCAGTGTCAGACTGGCAGCAACAATAGCAAGCTTCTCTTTTTTTTTCTTCTGATGCTCTGGGAGGCTCCCTTTCCAAGTCCTATATCAGCTTTTCTTCCTCTGGTTACTTAACAAAAGTGATTAAAAGACTTTAGCAACAGCTGTTTATTTTCCTAATAAGGCTTACAGTGTTGACTCCACAGTTTGCTTTCTAACTTTTTTTAATAGATGTCTGGTTGACTAATTTTTTAAAAAAACAAAAGCTAAGAGTTTTGGGTCCCTGCTGGCTTGGACCCCAGTACATATGTTCAGACTATAGTTGCACACAAGTGCAGGAAAAAGCCTTAGCAGTTGATTATGTCCAATGTAGAGACTAGTCTTCAGTTTTAAGCCTTCCCACCTCCTCAAACTGCAAGGTGGATGTGTCAGGCAATTGGATTTAATCAACTTTAATTGTTACTGTTCTTTGGAAGGATGAAAAAAAAATATTAAAAGAAAGCCACCTCAAAGTATTAACCACTGGGCTGGATCCAAAGTATTGCACATGGAAGTAAAAGAGCTGCTAGTGTTGTTCCAAGAACACATGTGCAATGCCAGATTGGTCGGTGGAATAGCAGTCCTTAAGCTTCTCTTATGCAACCTCTTGCCTATGTGTCAGATTGTTTCATGTCTGTTTCACAAGATTCTAGCTCAAAGGGTAAAGTAGCACTTCCTTGAGCAGAAGACACTTTCAACACATCAAATAAAAAGATTTGATGCATTCCATTAAATTTTCAGCAAAAGAATGCATTAAACTGCACTGATATGCCCAAATTTGCTGAACTGAGCTGAGAGAATGTGTCATATTTTGGTCCAATGTGTATACAAACAAGCTGCAAAACTCATCCAATGCAAAAAAATTAAGGTGTCTAAAACTCAGGCCCCCTTTGAGCTTGAGGCTCAGGCCAAATGACCCTCCTGGCATCATCCCCTCCACCTCTGATTGGCCCTGGAGGCACCAAATTTAGTATTTATGGAGTCCAGGACCAGGTGGGCTGTGATTGGCATTGCACATACACAAGAAAGCAAGCTTAACACTTTTTGGAAATTGGGAGATGGGTGGTTGAGGTGCTAAGTTCATGGGATGTTCCTGACCTACAGGACATCTCAGAGGAGGGTTCAGATTGCATGTACGCCAAGGTTCAGGAAGGACCTAACTGGTCCACTTGGACAGCTAAAGAAATTGTGTGGGGTGGTTCTGTATCACAACAACCTGGAAGTTCAACAGGATTCACCTGATGCTGCACATTGCAGGGAAATACTGATAATATCAGGCAAGCAGTTAGTCAAAGAAGCTTGCCATTATTAATATTCTCATTGGAGAACTAATAAGCTCTCAAGGCAACTCCAGAGCACAGTTAGACAGCTGTTGCCACTAACCATTCACGAATATATGATGCTATAACCACTGTCAGCCCAAACCATTTAGCTGCCTGGAGTGCAAATGGTGCCCTACCCACTAAGGATAAACCTGTAGCCCTCCAGATGTTGTTTGACTCAAACTCGAGTCATCCCTGATCACTGGCTACAACATCTGGAGATCCTAAGGTCCCCGAACGCTGCTTTAAGTCTTGCTGCAGGTTTGGGACATCAGTTGCTGCCTTCATCTGTTCCTTCATAATGCTGCTTGAAGAAGGTCCCTACATTCTGCTGCATGGCAAAGCCTTGGCTGTGTCCATTCACTCCACCCTTCAAATTTATTTATTTTTAGATTCACTAGGTGATAAAATCCTAGTGGGAAAACAACCAAGGAGACAACCTAAATATGATTTGCCTTGTGATCACAATGTTGATTTACTCAGATACTATTATCTCTCTTGGAGGGGCATAGGGCATGTCCAGAAGTGTTGGATTTGGCGCACTACAGGCAGTTTGCTTCGCTGTGGATGAGAGAGTATGTCCAAGCAACTCTGAAGGGTTGGCAGAGTGGCTTCATTTGCATGTAGATCATGTGAGCTCCCATTGCTCTGTTGACGGTGCCTTTGAATTAGACCAGCCTGTCCCTTAAGTGTTTGGTTTAACCATCTAATATTTAACCATCTAATATTTTAATTGTGGCAGGGTGCTGTGTGGATTTTGCAAAGTGAGAGACATAAATTAGGTGCAGATGGTGTTTTTTAAAGTCTGCTACTGCCGTAGCTAAACTCATTTGCAAAACATGCTAGATGAAATGTGTGTGTGTGTGTTTTAAATTGACTCTTGTAGGTTGCTGAAGAATATATGTTTTTGTTCCCAACAGCCAGTGGCGTAGCGTGGGGGGTGCAGGGGGGGCCGGCCGCACCGGGCGCAACATCTCGGGTTAGGGCAAATCCACAGGTTAGGGGGCGCAAATCCACGGGTTAGGGGGCGCAAATCCATGGGTTAGGGGGCGCAAATTACTTGCCTTGCCCCGGGTGCTGACAACCCACGCTACGCCACTGCCAACAGCTAGAGGTTGGATCACTAAGAGGTTCCTTGCTTTTTTGCTTTGAAGTGATAGGTGAATTTTCACCAGTGTAAATAAATGTTACAGTTCAGTTCACTAGTGCTTCTGATGATAGTCGGTGGCAGGGCTGGCTCTAGGTTTGAGAGGGGACTGTGGGCAAAAGTGTCCTCTGGCAAGCCCCTCCTCTTGTCAGTGGGTCCTGGTGGGCTTATCTGCCTATGGTGCCAGTGCTTCAAGTAGCAGTGGGCAACTGTATCTAGCAACATTTTCTGTTTCCCACAATGCCTCCCAGGTCTGGGGCATTGTGGGAACTTAAAAAGATGGTTGTATCCAACCACCTGGCACTCAGTGCCAGTTCAAAAGAGGGGGCAAGGCAGGTCAGCCATCAACAGTGGACCTTGTTGTGGTGCTGGGGCCCTGGCAACTGTCCAAGGATGCCAGCTGCTGAGATGAGTGAAATCTCAATTGTTTGGGGGGTGAGATGGGGTGTAGCGAACTTCAATATGTGTTTGGAATCAGATCTAAATTGTCACTTTATTTTTAACACACACTACTGTTTCCACTCCAGCTAAATCTTTTTCAAAATCACGTATTAAACAATTAATTGATTAACCACTTTGACCATTCAGTTAATACTTTTAGCCACAGGAGTAGGAATTGTAGTTCATTGACATCTGGAAGTCCTGAGGTTCCCCACACCTGCTTTATGATATCAAAGCACAACTAGGAAGAAAAAGAATAGAGTATTCAGTCTCTTCATTTTGTTGATTGTTCAGCTTTGCTGTGCAAGAGCCTTCCACTTCTATGGCATAAATCCACCAGCTCTCCTGGCATTTCTCTCTTGTTCCAGGTTACAAATGCTCATTCTGCTGCAATGAGTTTGTTAATCTCTAGGCAGCCTTCTGCAACATGACGCTGTCCAGATGTTTGGCACTATGACTTCCCATTGCCCCACCCAGTGCTGATCAGATGGGAGTTGTAGTGCACAACATATGTAGGACACCAGGTTGAGGAAGGCTGCTCTAAGGCAACACAGGTCTCTCAGTAGTTTTGGTTTCCTGCTGGCATGCCAATAACTACCACTCTTTCTCCTTTTCCCTCCAGAAAATTAAGCCTGAAGTAGACGAGTTTCTTCAAGAGCTGCGTACGAGAGTGTTAATTGGGGTAGTGGGTGGCTCAGACTACTCCAAGATAGCTGAGCAGCTGGGTGAAGGAGATGAAGGTGAGCAATACATAGTTCTGCTTTCTAGGTGCTTTTGTTTAATGGAAGCATTTTGATTAATGCTTTTGTTTAACGGTGCTTTTGTTTAATGGATTGCAAAATCAAGCAATCATAGCAGTCATATTGGTGAACAAAAGGGTGTGCAAATTGACACATGCAGAGGAAAGCACATGGTATGGCTGCTGTGGACTGCACCATTTCAGACTGCAGGGGTGGGGATCATGTGACTCCATGCACCTCCATCCTTTTTCAAGGAAAGCTAGTGTGGGGAGAGGTTTGGGCCTAAACTTCACCCAAACAGGCCCCATCTGAAGAGTTTTGTTTTATGTGCAGAGGCATTCAAATGTGTGATTCTCTACCACTCTGAAGTGGTACAGCCTGGGAAGGAATATCCATGGGTTGTTTCTGCATATTGGATCAAACCCAAGACAGTCGTAGCATTTCGGTGCTACTGTAACATAACTGTACTGCAGATCCACAAAGCCAAACTCAGTATTGGAAGGTTCCAAAAAGTCCTTGGAAGCTCAGCATGTTCTCCTGTGGCTTCGGACTGGTGGGAAGTGGAATCAGCTCTGGTCTTCGAAAGTGGGTTAACTGACCTCCCAAGCCACATGGACAGGACAGACGCCTGTAGCTTCTCTCTATCCTACTCCCTATATCTGCAGCATTACCCACTGCACTTTCAGTTCAGGATTCCCAAGACATCTCATTATATCCCATATCTATAAGGGGTGGATTTAAATTGGCCCAATGCAGTTTCGGCATCCTCTTGATCAGGTCCAACAAGAGCTGTGTGCCTGACTTATTCCAATGCAGGTACATCACGAGGGAAGACAGATGAAGGTCCCAGCAGAGAAAGCAGGAACAGGAGCACAGCAAAGAGGGAGGTACTGAGGTGATGGAGAAAGGCGGAGATGGCGACAGAGCCAAGGGCATCATGGGATATTTGTTTGGTACAGACATAGAAACAGGGACCCAGAAAACTGCAGGCACTTGCAACGCAGCGCCATATGGAATAGAAGCAGCTTCCAGAAAAGCAGAGAAGGAAGCCACCAGCTGAATTTATACTGCAAACAGTCAATCCTATCTGGCCTGCAATAAGCCTAATAAGGTTGCAGGGCATCCTACAGTAAATGGCATCATGAGTTCATTCACAGCCCATGTTTCCAGACTTAGTTGGTGGGGTTCCTCTGAGCCTGTGGTCCTAAGTGCAAGACTTGCATCCTTTCGCAGAAGTAAAGCAGAACGGTTGTTCCATGCCTTTGCATTCCCCTCCATTGCCCCTTCCCCCAGTGACAAAGAATAATATCAGATTCTAAAACCTTCCTTCTAGACTAGAGATAACCTAATGTTCCCTTAAAAGGAAAGTGAACTGCTGATTCAGCATTGGCCTTTTTATCACTGCTGGGAAAGGCCAGTGTGAAATAACCTGTAGCTGCAGATCTGTGCACATTTGCTTGCAAGTAAGCTTCACTTAGCACAGAGACATGTGCTTCTGAGTAAACAAGCTCAGGGTTGCACTCTGAGTTACTGAGACGTTCCAAATGGAAAAGTGGGGGAGGCCAGACAAAGAGAGCATAGGCAGGCACAATTCAGCTTTGTTGCTGTGTGTGTCAGATGATTGAGTTCTCACTCAGCAACTTGCACACCTGCATCTGTAAAATGGGAGCATCACTACCAGCGTTCATGAGCATCACTATTTTCAGGGCACCTCAAATCAAACTTTGCTGAAGTGTCAGAATAAAACCACAGAGATCCTGCGATTCAGCACCCACTTCCCTTGCAGCCCCTATCCATCTGACTGATTGATATTTCTCTCTCACCTTCATTTCCCTTCCTTCACTTCTTCTCCTCAACATCCTTTTTGCCCCTACAAATCTATTCTCCACAGTTATCGACAAGTTTGATTACGTCTTTGCAGAAAATGGCACCGTGCAGTACAAGAATGGGCAACTGGTCTCCAAGCAGGTAGGCCCCGCCACTTTGTGCTCTGCCACCAAGGCTGCAAATTTCCTCCTCCCCTCACCCTCCTTCCCTGCCAAATCTCTCAGAGAGAGATGATGGTATCCAAAGTCTCTCAGGTTATCTGGCTCCATACAGTTATCTGATAAGTCAGTATTTTATTGAGGAAGGGTTTCCCTCCCCCACCCCTCCAAAAAAGGAGGCAAAACTTTGAAGTAATGCTTGAACAATTTTAATTTGTGAAGTAATATGCCCAACATCTTTCTGGCATCTTCAGGGGCACTCAGAAATGACAATAAAGATTATGTTAAAGAGTACTCAAAATCAAAGCTAATAATCTTAACATAAAGATATACACTTTATATCAAATATGTAAGGTATTTGTAAGGGTATCATTTATAAGGATATTAATATTCAGTACTCTTCATATATATATTATATATAGTACAGTATAACTTAGGGCTAGGGAGTCCCCGATGTTTTAGTCCCTGAGAGGACACAGTATCTCCTCACAGGAGCAACTGGAGAATCTGTTGCTCCTGGCTCTTCCCACAGCAGGCAGGCCCCTTCCCAGGCCTTAGATAAATGCATGTAGACTTGGAAGGGACCCCAAGGGTCATCCAGTCCAACCCCCTGCAAGCAGGAATATGGACATCTAATCCTTGTTGTGATTTCTTTTAGTGCAAGGTGATATGTCAAAAACATGTTGAGCACATTACAGCACAAAATAAAATTCTCAAGCAGCATTTTGAATCTTCACTTCCTTTTTTCCTTGATTTACTGCCTTTTGGTGCTGCCCCTCTCTTTTCATTTTTGTTCCATTCAACATATAATAAAACAACTTGTTCTGCTGTTCACAATATGGGTGGATTTGGTGAGAATTTCACTCTGTTGGCTCAGTGTGACCTTTGGCTTTTTTTTGACAGGCTATCCAGAACCACCTTGGGGAAGAACTTCTGCAGGATCTGATCAACTTCTGCCTCAACTACATGGCACTTCTAAAGCTGCCCAAGAAACGGTAATGGTCCTTTCTTATTCCAGGGCATGCAGACTCTGGCTTGTCTCCTTAAGGAAGTGTCCCAGTCTCATTGTTCAGGAAGTGCCCCAACTTCTCCAGAGAGACTTTTTAGGGCAAGCGTGTCACTTCGAGCTTGGGGAGGGGCTTTCCTTCCTTAAGTTAACTTATCAAAGGATTCAGGTCTCTCTTTTTATTTTCCAGATACTATGTGAGTGTTTAGAACCACAAAGTTGATAATCCTGCCCGCCCAACTAAAACAAAGAACCTTAATCTTCAAATAATATCCAGCAGAAACCTTCCCACTGTTTTATTGAATACCTGAAAGGGAAATATCCCATAATTTCTTTCAGCACTTGATTTCATTGCATAACTGTTCTTAGAGTTGGGTAACATGTTAGGAAGAAATCCCTTCCTTTCTGGAGTTTAAACTCATTGCCCTGTATTCACTATGCTTTCTAACTAGTTGCTATTGTTTCCCCACTTTTCCCAATATCCTTCTATATATTTTTAAGGAGTCAGTGTTTAGAACAGAAGGAAAGCAACTCTGTGCGCAGCTGATTTAACTTAGCCCTCACAGATGTTGTGTCTTGTGAGTACCACTTTCTAAAAAAACAGGTTAACCTCAACTCAGTTTATGTTATTTTGCTACACTATAATGCTGTGCCCAACATTGCAAACACACTGCATACTTTGTCCATGGGAATTTTGCATCCTGAATAAATGAAACATTAAAGAGTGATATTCTAGGCATTTACTTCTAATAGCTCCAGCTCTTGTAGAGGAAAAAATCACCCCGGAAGAAGAAAGATGCGATAGGTAAGGGCCATGAGGAATCTATGATCAACTCTCTTAGGAAAAGTTGCATGCCACACACCATAAGCAAGGAAGAGGTCCCTCTTCTTGTGATTAGTTTGACTTTGTGTTGTATCGCGGCGGGAAGATTCTGCTTGACTTCATGTTAAAGAAATCAAGAGGCTGTGCAACAGGACTGTCTTTTTTTTTTACAACCACATACTCAAGTTTCTCCTTCTCTCTTCCCCTTAAAAAATATATATTCTCAGGGGGACGTTTATTGAATTTCGCAATGGGATGTTGAACATCTCTCCTATTGGTCGAAGCTGCACTTTGGAAGAACGAATAGAATTTTCAGAACTGGACAAGGTAAATAATAAGCATTAGGCTCCAAATGTATTTGTGACACACTGGAGCCTGTTAGAACCCCAGGGTGGGGTGGGTGTGTTTTTTCTAAGTATTAAGCCTGTTGCTAGGGTACCTTGCCTATAAGCTGGAGCGAAACAGGAATATTATTCTGACTGGTCACAGTTCTTGAAAGAAATCGCAAGGCACAAACACAAAATACTGCGTTTCATGGAGGAAAGTGGGATCTGACAAGGATCAAAGTAATTGAGGGGGATGTTTCCTTATCCCTCTTCAGTTCTGTCTCATTTGTTTTCTCTTCATCTCCTTTACAGAAAGAGAGGATTCGAGAGAAGTTTGTAGCTGCCTTACAGAGGGAGTTTGCTGGCAAAGGCCTGCGGTTTTCCCGAGGTGAGAGTTTTCTTAGTCCTCTCTGTGATTTGGGAGGAATGGATAGGAAAAACAATTGATTTTGTATCCAAGAAGAATATGCATATATTCTTCTTTTGGCTGTGTTGTGCTTTTGTGCACACAAGTTCATTATTCTTGTGCTAGAAACTGACAATAAAAAAGATTATTTTTTTAAGTGACTTTGGGTGCTTGGTACAATTAGTTTTGGGGTCTTAGAAAAGCAAAATACCTAGCATGGTTTATGTTTTAAAAAACTGGGTAAGTGCTTCGTTACAGGACTTAAAAGAGGTTTCCCTGTGGTGATCCCTGTCTGCAATGAGTTTCTTTTCCATACTATTCTAAAACCCTCAAACTTTTTAGACATAACCCCCATTTAATTGAGTGAAACATATGTCCAAGTTAGTGTTCTTGGAAGGACTGCTGTTTTAACAGAGGGATCACTTTCTTTGCCAAGAATTGCCAGGATCAGAGCATGGTCTGTGGCTAGCAGCGCTCTGCCTAATACTCCAGTGGTCTGGCAGCAATGCTCTGTTTTGGGTGCAACCCTATCCATTTGTTAGCCCTCTGTGCTCCTGCCCCCCCCCATCCCAAGTATGTGTGCCCCTTTCACTGCCACCCCTCTGACCTCTACGTGTTCAGCAGCAGACTGAAGGGGGAAATGGTTGTACTCATAAACCTGAAATCGTGGGCCTAATCATTTGTACATCCTTCATGTGGCTAACATTTGACTAGGAGTACAGTGCTGGCAATAGTGGGCTCTTTGTCCCTTACTAGGGGGCTGGCAGGTGGCCATATTTCCTTTATTTGTGGTGGGGGCAGTTGCTATTGGAGCTGTTGCCACCAGCATGCCAGAATAATTTATCTGGACTACAGCTGTAGTACTGCCAAAGTGACAGCGAATGAGATCTCATGGCAAAAGTCCTTTGCTCTGTCCTGCAGTGATCCAATGCTAGGACCAATCTGCATTTTACATTCGTCCCACAGTTAACAGACTCTCCTTTCCCTGCCCAGCCGTACTTAGAAGATAAGAACACTTTAGAATAGGGTTCCCTGCCAGCCCTCCAGCCAAAAAGCTTGAGAGCCACCCTTCCCCCTTATAGATATTTTTTCTGAGAAGTCATTAGCTCCTGCTCCTCACACTTCCCCAGCCAACTGTTTCTTGTTTGTGCCTTTGGCTGATGGGGCCTTGCTGACGCCATTCCGTCCTATTGCCATAGAAACGGCAGCTACTGAATTAATGTGTCAGAGAAGCAGGCAGGCTGGCAGCCATGGTGCATGACCATCTATCACGGAACAATTTATTCTACAAAAGCCATTTGCACCTGAGGTGTTCAGGGGAGATCTTTTTCCTGCAAGCCTCCCCCTTCAGTCTGTTTCCCTTAATTCCATCACGCTTTCCGCCTCTGGCAGGTGGGATGATCAGCTTTGACGTCTTCCCAGAGGGCTGGGACAAGCGCTATTGCCTCGATATCCTTGAGGATGAGAGATTTGACACCATCCATTTCTTTGGGAATGAGACAAGTCCAGTAAGTAAATCTGACCAAAGCCCTGTTCTTTGAGAAGGGGCCAAGTCCTGTGTGGGATCGAGGAAGATAAAGCTGTCCATATCTAAACTGGCAGGCTCTCCACAGAGCTACATTGCATTAAAATAACCAGCAGACTCCCATTTCCACTGTGGCTCAACTGTGTCTTTTCCACAATGTTTAAAGGGCATTGTGTATTTCAAAACATTTGGTAAATATACCTGGGGACCATGGCTGAAAGCCTGTTTTCAGATGTGCAAATGCCCTTTGGATGTTTCAGAAAAGACACAACTGATGTGTGATGGGAGCATTTGCTGTAAGGTTTGAAGTGGCTCTTGTTCGCATTTTCCAGCCTTACAAGTTGGTACCTGGACTGCATGAAAGCAAGTATAAACTAAGAGTGCCCTCTTCTGGTGACTGGAAAATGCAAAGACATCTGTTAAGGTGCCATTTCATTTCAACATCTCTAAAGGGATTTGTCTGTGCAGAAGCTTTGCGAGGAAGGAGAAAAAGAAGTGGGCAACTTTTGTATCACATGAACACAATGAATCTTACAGTGCAGACAGTGCAGAAGGTTGGTGGTTCAAATCCCTGTGATAGGGTGAGCTCCCGTTGCTCTGTCCCAGCTTCTGCCAACCTAGCAGTTCAAAAGCATGCCAGTACAAGTAGATAAATAGGTACCACTGCGGTGGGAAGGTAAACGGTGTTTCCATGCACACTCTGGTTTCCGTCACGCTGTTCCGTTGTGCCAGAAGCAGTTTAGTCATGCTGGCCACATGACCCAGAAAGCTGTCTGTGGACAAACGCCAGCTCCTTTGGCCTGAAAGCAAAATGAGTGCCGCACCCCATAGTCATCCCATAACCGTCCAGGGGTCTTTTACCTTTTACCTTTACCTTACACAGCTTTAAAAAAGGACTCTGAAAATGCTCTGAAAATAACCATTTTAAAGCTCACAATGGAAAATTTCATAAGGAACTATTTCAGCTCAACAGCACCATCTGGTGTCACAATGTTGGAACAGTGCAAGTAGATAAATAGGTACCGCTGCGGCGGGAAGGTAAACAGTGTTTCCGTGCACACTCTGGTTTTCCTTACAGTGTTCCGTTGCGCCAGAAGCAGTTTAGTCATGCTGGCCACATGACCTGGAAAGCTGTATGTGGACAAACGCCACCTTCCTCAGCCTGAAAACGAGATGAGCGCCGCACCCCATAGTTGCCTTTGACTGGACTTAACTGTCCAGGGGTCCTTTATCTTTACCTTTACCTGTCTGCACAGAAGCTTTGCGAGGAAGGAGAAAAGGAAGTGGGCAACTTTTGTCTCACATGCTCATCGTGAATCTTACAGTGCAGACAACGCAGCCCACACTTCAGCCCTTGCGTAATTGCTTTCAGGTGCATTGTGGACACATTCTGATTATCTGGTGTGGGTGCTCTGCAGAGATTGGATTCACCAGTTAAGCACACCCAACCCTCTTAAAAAAAAAACAACCTACACATGGATACACTTATATAAAACATGCCTGAAATAGTGTGGTTTATTGGCTCTCCTCCCTCCCTGTCAGCATGTGAGGTCATGACTACTGATGCATGACAGGGGGAAATCAATACCATGAGCAGCAGCATCACTTCAGATTAGGTTTTACATGAAGTCAGGTCCCACAAGAAATACTTTAATTTACAAATTTCGCATAACGAGGGTACGCAGTCCCTTGGGTATGCAGAAACCACCTTCTGATCCAATAGGCACCACACAACCCAAGTTGAGAAGGGAGCAGGGCTCAATAAATACAGTGCTTTCCAGAAGCAGTGGTTTTTGTGTCTCGCTGCCCACCTCTGCATTATTTTCAATTCCTTGCCAGTTTCAGATGGCTTGAGCCTCCTGGCACATACACTGTACAGCAAGGGTGAGGATCCTGAGACTCTCCAGATGTTGCTGAAATCCAGCTCTCATTGGCCCCAGTTGGCCGGTGGTCACTGGTCACAGGCGATGAGGACTGTAGTGCAAAAATATCTAGTCCATCATTGCATTTTCACCATGGCCAATCAGCTGTCTAAGGGAAGTGGGACCTGAGTGCAACAGCATTCTGCTCACTTGTGATTCCCAGCAACTGGTATAAAGCTATCCATTTTTGGGTGAAGGTGTGGCATATATGCCTTGAAGTAAATAAATAAATCTGAGGTCTGGCAGGGGGACTCATATTCTGCCTTAATGGGGGGTGGAAATTGGATGGTGATGATGATGGTAATTATTATTATTATTATTATTATTATTATTATTATACCCTGCCCATCTAGCTGGGTTTCCCCAGCCACTCTGGGCGGCTCCCAACAGAATATTAAAACACGATAAAACACCAAACATTAAAAACCTCCCTAAACAGGGCTGCCTTCAGATGTCTTCTAAATGTCAGATAGTAGTTTATTTCCTTGACATCTGATGGGACGGCGTTCCACAGGGTGGGCACCACTACTGAGAAGGCCCTCTGCCTGGTTCCCTGCAACCTCACTTCTTGCAGTGAGGGAACCGCCAGAAGGCCCTTGGCGCTGGACCTCAGAGTCCGAGTTGAACGATGGGGGTGGAGACGCTCCTTCAGGTCTACGGGGCCAAGGCCGTTTAGGGCTTTAAAGGTCAGCACCAACACTTTGAATTGTGCTCAGAAACGAGTCTGTGTTTAAGGCTGCAACTTACAGAAGGAATACACCTAAAGCCAAAATTGTGTATTGTCCAAACACATTGGGTTCAATGGCAGGTGGGATTGCCAAGTCTTTTTTACTGGACACTTTTTCCCTTTCTGCCCCCTTTTTATTCATTTTTTTTTATGCCAAGCATGTTGAGCTTGAATGCGCACATGTTAAATGCACCCAGGTTGTGGGCTTACGGTATTCTATACTTTCCTGCTCATTTTAACCACCACGTCCAGCACCTTAATTCTAAGCGGCCAATAGTAAAGATTCTTCTTATCCTTAGGGTGGGAATGATTATGAAATCTATGACGACCCTCGCACGGTGGGGCACAGCATCCAGTCTCCCCAAGACACAGTCCGGAGGTGCCAGGAGATCTTCTTTCCAGAGACAGTGAATGAATCTTGACTCGTGGTGTCCCTGCTGCTCTCGATCACTCGGATGAGACCCTCACTCACCTTAGGAAAGCACCTTTTGGATCCTTTCAGGACTTGCTGAGGCCCAAGGTCAAAATGCACTTTGGAAACGGGAACTGGAGTGTCAGAAACGGAGGGAGATGATGAAAGCTGTTCATCAGTTACGCCATCATCTTGCTACTGGGGAGCTGCAGAACCCCAGTTGCCATACCCTCATTCCCACCAAACGAGGTAAAGTGTTGTTGTTTATGTTTAAAGTGAAACCTGTATCCTAGTTAAGGCTTTTTTCCTTTCTTATCTGGAAGCTAATAATCACCCTTCCCCACAGATTCACCCAAATGAACCTATTTTTGAGATGGTGATTATAATGATTGAAATAATTTATATACCCCCTTCCATTTCTAGAAGAAATGCGAAGGCGATATTTTTGAGATGAATCTCAGAAAGACACTAAAGTTATATTTAAAAGGGAGCAGGGCCTGTAGTGTTACAAGTACAAGACCTGTCAAGTATTTTCATATTCTTGAACCATCAATGTGGTTGGCAAATTATTTTTTGAGAGCCTTTTTAATGTGCGAAAGGAGAGCGTAACCTGAACGATAAATAATGGCCCCTCCTAGCAGTAGTAATGTTTTGTTTTGTTTTTTAGACATTGACACATGGCTATTGTGCCAGAATGTGGATGGAATATGCACTTCACATCCATTGAAAGCAATGCAGTATGGATGCTGGCATCCACACTGAGATGCACATCTCATTTATGCCTGGGCTTCCTGATCTGGCAGGTGATACCTGTACAGAAACTTTCTGCTGCATGCAGATCTCCATCACTCGATCAGGCTGAACAACAGTGCTGAATTGTGCATATTTAAACAGTTTTCAGCTATGTTAGTTGGATGACCTTTGAGCAATGTTAGGGATTGTGCTGTTGTAAAGGACTTTGTAACAAAGGCAACATGTTCATTTGGCCCCCAAAGTAAAGAGTATAAAAGACCATGGGGCCCTTCAACAAAATGTTGCAGTGTGGAGAGTTCCTGTTCAGTGCCCTCCCCCCGGATATTCCATTCCATCCTCAGAAAGCATTCTGTGGCCCCTGAGCACCTTCAGGCTTCAGCAGTTGTTTTGGGTGGTGGTTGTTTTCCTTAAATATCCTCTGTTCTTCTTGAGCTCTTCCCAAACCTGCAACTATCTCCCTCTTCTGTATATGTGGTGTTTTGTCTACATAAACAATGGCACTCGCACTGAAAATAGGGAGAATCATGGTTTGAGCATAGGGCAACAGAAGGACCAAGTTCTAATGCATTCACACATTCATAAATCCAGATGAATTAAACCAGGTTTATGAATGAGGAAATGTTTACAGCTGTAGCTTTAATATCATTCCTGATTAGTCATCAGATTGCGATGTAGATTTCCTTCTAGACTTGTCTGATTAAGAATCTAAAGTTCAGATTTACTAAATGTTTGAATGTGAAATTAGCTATAAACTACTGAGAATAGCCAAACTGTAGCAAACATTGCTACTGTTTATTGTTTCTATAAGCATATATTCTATTTTAAATTACCTTCAGTGTAGACAGAGCAGCAGCCTTCGTTACTGTAGTCTCCAAACCCTGGATTTTTATATTTAACACAGAAATATTTTCTTTATTTTCCAGAGGGGTAATGGTGTTAGTCTACTGCAGCAAAAACAAAGAGACTAAATATTTGCCTGTTTCTGCCTTTAGATAAAAATAGTGATGGTTAATTGCAAAAGGTTCTTCCTCTGGTTGGTGACTTCCCATGAGAGTACAATTATATATGCTAGGGCTTGGCAATATATCAATATATTGTCCAAAACCCGTTTGAAGGCCATATGGTGATATCAGTTTCATAAATCACGAATCATGGTGTGTGTTCAGACTGGACGATATATCATCCAAAACTGGTTTGAAGTCCATTTCATGGTATCGGGTTCATAATTTTGGACCTGGCAAAGTATCATAAATCATAATGTGTGTATGTATGTATGTATGTATGTTGCTATGCAAAAATCACGGTGTTAACTCTTGTCGGCTCAGCTCTTCCCTGCCTCCTGCAGGGAGCAGCAAATCACAAGAGCAGTCGCTGGCAAAAATCACGATGCAGGAAAAACTGTGACGCCAGCCAACGCCTCTATATAGCTCCATCCTTATTTCAGACATTGTGATATATTGGTATATCACGATGTTTAGCTGTGGCTATATCATGATGTTGAAAACCAGCCCTAATATATGCATTCCACATACTGTGCCACACTTAAGATTGAGTTGCTTCATGCTGCTTACTTTTCATTAAACAAACAAATAAACAAACAAACAAACAAAAACAACCCCAGTTCCTAGCTCTCATGGTTTCATGCACAGTGTTGTGAATTTGGAAGCAAAGCCTTCCAAGCAGTAAAAGAACACAGAACTGGATGCTATGACTCAACTTTCCTTTGTATCTGTTAAGATGCCCCTCTGGTCATTGTCTTGTCTGCCCTTTGTATCCTATTCCCTTCTACACTTGTCCTCATCATTCTTTCACCCCAGTCAAAAAATCTCAATATTTTCCAATAAGCCAACAATGTATTTCACTCGGAGCCAGTTATGGGTTGACAATTTGCATATTTACAGGTTTATGCTGATGAAGATGAGCATTGTTTTTGTCAGTGCCAATAGATCAAGGGTACAGAAGCTGTGACTTGACTATAATTCCCATCACCAATGACCACCTCAGCTTTGGACACTGGGAGTCCAGCAGTATCTCAAGGGGAAGAGGTTCTTTCAGCCATGCAGGATACCCAGGCCATAGCACATTTGAGCAGGGCGTAAGGAGGACACAGGTAGAGTGTATGTGCCCTTTAAACAACAGGTAAATAAATTCAGGATACCTGCTGTCCTACAAGGCTGTCCCCTCCCAAGATTCCTGAAAGAAGGAAAGCACAAAAAACATTAATAAAGGGCACAACCCTTTTATCATATACTCCTCAGTAGAAGATAGCTGTCTACACTCCATAGATCTCATAAACGGTGTCTGTACTCCCACCCTCTGCCTCAAAGGCAGGCCGCGGGCTTTGTATGGCACAGATCAGAACTTATACAGTTCAACTGAAACTCCAGGAAAAAAAGTGACAGCTGTAGTAGTCAGGGCAGGGCAGCCTCTTATGAGTAGAAAATAAGACTGCCCTATTCCCTCCCCTACTCAGTGGAACATGGAGCTCTCCAAAGTGAATGTTCATATTACGTAGCTCATATCATCGTCATCTGCAATGAATGCTTCCAGCTACAGTGGTACCCCGCAAGACGAATGCCTCGCAAGACGGAAAACCCGCAAGACGAAAGGGTTTTCTGTTTTGGAGGCGCTTCGCAAGACGAATTTCCCTATGGGCTTGCATCGCAAGACGAAAGCCCATAGGGAAATGCTGGCGGTCGGGAGCAAAGACTTTTGCCCACAGCCGGCCTTCAGAAGAGGACCTCTTCTGAAGGCCGGCGGGGGGCAAAAGTCTTTGCTCCCCCCCCGCCTGCCTTCCCCCCGCCTGCCCCGGGCGATCTTAAAATGCTGGCGGGCGGGAGCGAAGCGTTCGCTGCCGACCCCCAGCATTTTAAAATCTCCCCGTGTCCCGGGAAGGTTTTAAAATGCTGGCGGGCGGGAGCGAAGCGTTCGCTGCCAACCCCCAGCATTTTAAAATCTCCCCGTGTCCCGGGAAGGTTTTAAAATGCTGGGGGTCGGGAACGAAGCGCTGCCGACCCCCAGCATTTTAAAATCTCCCCGTGTCCCGGGAACGTTTTAAAATGCTGGGGGTCGGGAGCGAAGCGCTGCCGACCCCCAGCATTTTAAAATCTCCCCGTGTCCCGGGAACGTTTTAAAATGCTGGGGGTCGGGAGCGAAGCGCTGCCGACCCCCAGCATTTTAAAATCTCCCCGTGTCCCGGGAACGTTTTAAAATGCTGGGGGTCGGGAGCGAAGCGCTGCCGACCCCCAGCATTTTAAAATCTCCCCGTGTCCCGGGAAGGTTTTAAAATGCTGGGGGTCGGGAGCGAAGCCGGCAGCCTGCATCCCGAAGCAGGGGGTGAGCTGCGGAGCCCGCCCCCTGCTTGGGGGAGATGTCAGCAAGCCTTGCGCGCAAGGCTTGGGGCGGCAGCCTGCATCCCGAAGCAGGGGGTGAGCTGCGGAGCCCGCCCCCTGCTTGGGGGAGATGCCGGCAAGCCTTGCGCGCAAGGCTTGGGGCAGCAGCCTGCATCCCGAAGCAGGGGGTGAGCTGCGGAGCCCGCCCCCTGCTTGGGGGAGATGCCGGCAAGCCTTGCGCGCAAGGCTTGGGGCAGCAGCCTGCATCCCGAAGCAGGGGGTGAGCTGCGGAGCCCGCCCCCTGCTTGGGGGAGATGCCGGCAAGCCTTGCATGCAAGGCTTGGGGCGGCAGCCTGCATCCCGAAGCAGGGGGTGAGCTGCGGAGCCCGCCCCCTGCTTCAGGCAGATGTCGGCAAGCCTCGCATGCCCGGCGGGAGGTCCCGCTTAGCCCGCTGTTCCGAAGCGGGGAGGGGGGCGGGAAGACCTGCCCCAGCCGCCCCACTTCGGAACGCTGTTCCGAAGCGGGGCGGGGGGCGGGAACACCTTCTGAAGGCGGGCAGGGGGCGAAAGTATTTGTCCCCCCTGCCTGCCTTCCCAGGGGCTTTTAAATCGCCCCGGACAGCGGAGAAGTCCTCCGCTGTCCCGGGGTTTTTTAAAATGCTGGGGGTGGGAAGAAAAGCCCTTGTCCCCCCCCCCCAGCCTTCAGAAGAGGTCCGGGGACAGACTGTCCCCAGACCTGGTCTGAAGGCGGTTTCCCTAGGAACGCATTAATTGATTTTCAATGCATTCCTATGGGAAACCGTGCATCGCAAGACGAAAAAACCGCAAGACGAAGAGACTTGCGGAACGAATTAATTTCGTCTTGCGAGGCACCACTGTACTTTCATATGAACATGAACTCAAGGTTTGTTTATATACACCACACTAGTGTAGGACGGCAGCTTGCTACCTGCATGAATGGATATTTGAAAATAAAGGGTAGCAAGGAGGGGATTTATCTTAGGTAATTGTTACTGCCATTCCCAAACTGGTGCCCTCCAGGACTGACAGCCTTGCAGCTACCGAAGTCAAATGTAGCTGATGGACACTGCAGTCTAAAACAGAGGACACCGGGCTGGAGAAGTCAGGTTTGAAAAGTTGCATCAATGATGTTTTCACCTAGTACTGTGTCTTCATGTCTGCATCTTCACTTGTACCTGGTTTAACTCCTGTGCTGCTGTATTTCTGTTTTGAAGAGATTACTCCTCCTTTCCCCTTTACCCACCGCCTCTTTTCAGCAAGAGATATTTGAATGACTTTCACAGGAAGGAACTGATTCAGACACAGAGCAACTGGGTTTTTTAGAATGGACCAAAAAAAAAAAAAGCAATGTTCAGTTAATGAGAAATGTATCCTTATTTAAATTTTGTGTGAAAACCAGATGTCTATTACTGACCAATTTGTGGGTTTTTGTTCACAGGCAGCTGTTTTATATATATACTAGAAATATATATATATATGCTTTTTAATGCATCACAAACAGGCAGCTGAGCTCCTACACCCAGGCTTCTATGCTTTGTAGTTCAATATTGTAACTTAATGTGGAACTAAATAATAATAATAATAATGAAGGCACAGGAAATCAGTACTATTTGTTTTTGTTATTTCTGGGTAATTTGCATTTGCTCAAATTCAAACAGACAAAAAGCACAAACAGTAACAACTTGGTAACTTAGTTTGACCGACCACCTACAGTATCTGTGAAGGTCACAGATACAATTCCCTCACAGAGCCTTCTCCAGCCTGGATTATGCTGGGCTTCAGTCAGCCCCAGTCCTTATGGCCAATTGCCAAGGATAATGGTATTGTAGTCTAAGACATCTAGAAGTCACCAGCTTGGGGGAAGCTGCCCTAACACTTCCACATAAAAGCTTGTGATGGGAGGGAGAGAAACATATTTGCCTGAAACTTTGAAAAGCTGCTGTCATTCAGAACAGCCCCTCCCGTACTAGATGATTACGTGTATGGCCGTTGTCCCCATAAAGCATTATAGATGCCTTAGACCAGTGTTTCCCAACCTTGTGCCTCCAGCTGTTTTTGAACTACAACTCCCATCATCCCTGACTAGCAAGACCAGTGGCAAGGGATGATGGGAATTGTAGTCCAAAAACAGCTGGAGGCACAAGGTTGGGAAACACTGCCTTAGACCAGGCTTCCTCAACCTCAGCCCTCCAGATGTTTTGAGACTACAATTCCCATCATCCCTGACCACTGGTTCTGCTAGCTAGGGATCATGGGACTTCTTGGCCAAAAACATCTGGAGGGCAGAGTTTGAGGAAGCCTGCCTTAGACCATATTGACACCATACATTTAAAGCACTGCTACCACTTTAAAGAGTCACAGCTTCCCCCAAAGAATTATGGGAGCTGCAGTTTGCTAAGGGTGCTGAGTGTGTTGGGAGGCCCATCTTCCCCATACAATTCCCAGAGTTCCTTTGGAGAGGGATTGTGGCACTACAGCTTCCAGAACTCTTTGGGGGAAGTGGTGAATGTTTCAAGTGATATTGTGCTTTACGTGTATGGTGTGAATGTAGCCTAACTGCAGGAGGGGCAGGTGCACACATGCTGCCCTCATCCCCTCCAACACTAGAGTTTCTGCTTGAGCAGGGAGGTCTACAAAGGGATTGTGAGAACCCTACACAAATGGAGGCTTGTGAGTGCCTTTAGTGGAGTGTATTTACAATCCCAATTAGATCTTCCACCAAACAGGAGGTGGTCAGCCATGAAACAGCCCCACACCTCCTACATGCTTAGACATCAGTGCCTGAAGGACTTTAGATGCGAGGTGAGTCCTTACATCTTTCCTAAGGTGCCATTTGGGCAGAGTATATGGCCCATGGTGGTCAGTCTTTCTCTCTGTCTTGAACAGAACAGTCAGACACCTGAAGACTAGCCACCCAATTCCTTAGATCCAGATTTTGTGACGTCATTCTGGTATTATCTCCTGTACCAAAGAACCGCCCTATAAAGGAAGAACGCAAAAAAACCAGGAGAGACTTGTGGGAAAGTCACTTTAATGGTTTATTGCCAGTGTTACAAAGGTCAACACGGGGTCAGACAGGCAAGGACCACACCAAAAGTTGTAAAAACACAGACACACCATAGGTAACAAAGATTTCAGAAAGAATCAAAAGCTTTCCCAGAGAGAAGATGCCATTTTGTGGCACTTCCACTGCTATTGCACCTTCAAGGGGAGGGGCAGAGGCAAGGAGCTGCTGGTGTTTAATGTAAGCAGAACAGCAGCAGGAAGTGCCTCTGGCTGTCACAGGAAGCAGGTCACACACGGGGGTCTGGATGCACCATGGGAAATTGCTTCCTTTTCCTGCTTCGTTCCTCCATTGGACTGTTTGTTCACCTTGGGAGGGAAAGACTAAAACATGTTCCTTCCCCAATGTCTATGCCTATGTCAAGAGTATATGCATCTGAGTTTTAAAGGCCTTTAAAATAAACACCTCACTACTCTCATTTTATCTCGAATACAGAGAGGGGAAGCCCCTCTGTACAATTTGGCTCCAAGACACATAGTTTTGGATGTTGTCCTTTTAGTCCAAGGAGGACACAGAATGTTTCTATAACCAAACAGATTAGAACTTGGAAAGAACTAGTCTCAGAAGCAAGAGAAAACCAACACCCTCCCTAGAATGTAGTTGGGCAGCCATTTTGAGTAGTGCTATTTCAACACCACATGGTTGTGTTCGCAATAGTATGCTACAGATTTAGAAAATTCACATTGTCAGAGTTTCCAGGTTGTTCCTTCAACAAAGTAGGTACACGGAGGTGGTGTCATCGTTCCCTGTATGTGGAAAATAGCACATCAGGGGCAGGTTGGGTCAGAATCTCTCAACAATGCGCTCTTTTCTAGATGTAGGGTGTATATTCAAAAATATACCTGCAATGCTCAGTCTGTTCCAGAAAGACTCATGATTTCGTTTAACCTGTAGATGAACCCAAAACCATTCTAGACATATCCATCTGACCATGTGCTCCTTCTGGAGGGCCAGTCCTCATTTCATTTAGAAACCAAAGCCCACATACTTAACTGGAAGCTACTCAGGTCACATCTACACCATACACTTTCCTCCAAGGAATCCTGAGAAATGCAGTTTCCCCCTCACAGAACTATAATGCCAAGTACCCTTAACAAACTACACTTCTCAGGATTCTTTGAGGGAAGCCATGTGCTTTTAAGTGTATGGTGTGGATATAACTCCAGTGTAATAACAGGACTACATTTAATCTTCCAGCATTGTCAGCACACATGGAGGGAAATAATCCCCCTCTGGACATCTTTGCACAGACTTTCCTGTGATCATAGTTTGACACTGTAGTGCTAAACTGAAAACATGAGAAGTGCTCCTGGAAAGAAATAAAAAAGCATGATGTTATAATGCTAGAGAACACCAGGCTGCCATTATACACCTGTTTCTTGCAGAGTATGCAGTCTATGCTGGCTGCACAGTCGCACTCCAGCACCCAACTATGCAAATTCTGCACCCCTGTGGGAAACCTTTGGCCCTCCAGATGTTGCTGAACTACAGCTCCCCCCGTCCTTCACCATGCTTGCTAGGGCTGAAGGGAGTTGTAGTCCTGCAACATCTGGAGGACCAAAGGTTCCTCAGGTCTGTTCTATACTGTAGAGCAACTGTTTCCCAACTGTGGGTCTCCGACTGTTTTTGGACCACAAGGTTGGGGAACGCTGCTGTAGAGGACCAACGATCACTGAAGTCCCAGAGATGTGAACCACAGAGGACAGGTGTGCAGTAAACAGCCACACACCACCACATGAAAGCCTCTGAAGATGCACTGCAAGTACAAAAAGAACGACTCTGAAGACACCAGTCTCATTCTCACGATTCCAGCATACTTTGGGCTCTATCTACCAAGCTCCTTCCAACTCTCAAATTAAGCCACTCACGTGCATACTTGCCACTTAATCACCCCTCTTAGCTCCTACAACAGTGGTGTGTACACTTCTAGTGCATCATACAAAAGTTTTACGATGCATGTTCAGCCCCTCTGCAAGGTCAAGCAACATCCGATATGATATTGCCCAAGAAGCTTTAGACTTGTCAGTCTACTGTTCAAAATGAGGTTAGCAACTGATTGACACCATGCAAATTCCTAACATGCACACCCTATCCTGGGAATTTTTTTTCTACTCAGAACATCTATTAGAAATCAGGTTTGTGCTTTAGACATGACCCTGTATATCCTGGGGAGAGAAGTAAAAGTTGGGGAAGGCTGGACAAGAACCAAAACATACCTAGATACAATGCCACTAGAGCCCATTATCAATTACTGGCCCATGAATCTTGTCATTGATACACGATTCCTCCATCTCTTGTGCACATGACCCTCATTAACTACAGAACTAGGGACACAGAGGGCCATCAAAATGTACAGGTTAGGATAATTGTAGGAAGAGTAGGAGAACGTCCAAACATCCATCTTGAGGAAACATGATCTGCAACATTCAGAAACGCAAACACATGCAGACGATACTAAAGCCTACATCTCTGGAGATGCAGAAAATAAAAATGCTATTCTCAAAGCAAATATCCACAGCCAGGAACCACCATACATTGCCCAAGACCATAAAACAGATGCATCGCATAGGCTCTATTCCGTTTCAAATGTTAAAATAATTATTCTTCTAGCAAAATGCCTTCATCTGCAGTATTTTTTTAAGTGCATTATTTTTAAGCAAGACAAATGTCCTTGGGGAGGGGACTTACATTTTAATATATGTGGGAAATGTAATGTCAGCAGGGTAATAGTCTAATAGCGAAGACTTCAAAGTCAGCCTCTCCCAACTTATTACCTTCTGTTTGAAACCAATGGGAAAATGATACATGTATTGATTCTTCTGGCATTGCATTATGTTGCAAATTAAGACACTGCACTGCCATCAGAGAGTGCAGCTGCATTTACTTTAGGAGTAACAGGATGGGGGACGGGGGCAGAGAGAGAATCTCAGTAGTTAAGGCAGGAAGACCATGACGATGTCTGAGCAGGGCTTGTATGTCTGTACCGCACACTCCTTACCACCGCATCACTGCTATCAAGAAATCTGGAAAGTGAAACAAGCTGGGAACGAGATACTGCCACAACTGGGTCCTTCTGGAACAAACCAGTACAGAGTCCAATTAGAATGGAAGAACTTATAGTGACAGGTCAAGTATTATTTGCAGATTTTCAATTGGCTTGTGTAATCCAATGCAGGAAGATTCCATTCTTAGACTTTGTAGGAATAAGTTTTGCAAGACTGAAATGGATGTCTAGCCTTCCGTTAACTGGCTATGCCTAAGGCAGGGATAACCAGCACAGTGCCTCCAGGTGTTCTGAACCACAACTCACATCAGCCCTGGTCATTGGCCTTGCTAGCCGAGGCTAATGAGAGTGGTAGTCCACAACAACTGAAGGGCACCCTATTGTGTACTTCTCTTCCAAGCAAATGATCACCTTACCTTGAGAAAACCTGTTCTAGTGTTCATATATATATATATATATATATATATTTGCTTTCGTAGATTTTCACGGGTACAGGAATGCAGGTTTTGGTGTCCTCGGGTGTCTTCCCGTGTAAAAGTTGGGGTGTCTAGGCGACGTTTCGACGAGGTCTCACTCGTCATCTTCAGGCTGGTGCTTTCGGCTTCTTGTTACTGGAACAGTAATATATATATTCTCTTTCCTGGCTCCCCCTCTCCTGATGTCTGTTCTTATAAAAAGCCACTGGAAATAATCTGCCAAAGGGAGGACTATTTCAACAGGAATTTAAATGAATCAAGACTCCTTGCAACATAGCATTCAGAATGATCTGCTTTTGAAGTAAACCTGTATCAATGGCACGGAGAACAGACCAGCAGTTTTCACAATATTGTGTATTCATCATTTAACTGAAGGATTAAGTACCTAAACTGCCGCATAATACCAAAGAATTTAATACTCAGCGCTTCTGCCACAAAGTAACTCACATCATGCCTTGGACAGATAGAAGCAGCACAGGATCTGACATTTCCAAGACAGCTTATGATCGCAAGTTCACCTTAATGATCATGTCCAGTGCCCAGTTAACCGCAAATCCCCAACCCCTGAATTCTTGTCTCCTGGTTCAGTCAGGGGACTGAGTAAGAAAAGTAACTTATTTATGCCATATGAGAAAGATCTGACAAATTCAGTTGTGAATACCACTCAAGAGAGGGGCTTCATGGATCTTGATAGTTTTCAGAAACTGCTCTTCAGTGATGCATTCTACTTGCCCTCTACACAACATCCTTGAGATACTAGACATCCAATGTGCAATTATGTGTGCAGGGGTGGGGGTGTTGGGGGGTGGGGGAGAAGCAGCATCTGTCACCAAACCAGTAATCCAGTTGCCACAGTTTGCCTAGCTGTGGTAGCCAAACCACTGATCTCAACAGACAACAACAGTGACATCAGTGGACTTAGGGAGAGGAGTGCAAGTCATGTGGTCCCTCCCTTACACAGGGCAAGGTGGCTGGGGACGGGGACAAGATGGGACAAAAAGCACATACCTACAAGTGTCTCTGAAGATGGCACAATCTGTGTGGGGCTCTGGGAGACACTGTCTTCAGGCAATGTACAATTGTCCCCCCCCTACAAAATATCACTGCATCTCTTAATACCTACTCTGACTGAGAAGAACAAGACAGCTTAATGCCAACTCCCCTGGGTGGAGTGCCTGGACCAGCCCGTTGAAAAAGCAATGGGATCATTTGTTAAACGGAGCAGGACAATACATAAGACTTTTGTTAATGCATTTAGGGTAGCAGCAAGACAAATAAAAGTCTGCCTTTCTGGATAAAGACACACCCAAAAAAACCTCGAGAGCTCTTCGTTTGTCTATTTCTGGTACAATTATGAGCTCACGAGACATAGGAGAAAATCCACCCAGCAACCCTTTTCCACTTCCTGCTTGCCATTGGGGGGGAAAAAGCACAGCTACAAACCAAAAGGTAAATCTTAGAAAAGACAACATAAATGCCAACATGTCACACTGCAAACAAGAATTGCCAGCCTGGGCTCTCTGCCATTGCTCCAGCAGTTCCACCACCCACCACACCATTCAACCCCACCTCCTTGGTGGGGTTGTCCTGCAGGCTCAAAAAGAAGTTTACGATCCAATGATTTGGCCAGACCACGTTTCATGCTTTGTGTGTGGAGCTAAATGGGTAAGCACCACCTCCACAGCCTGGAACTTCTGGTTCTTTGGTGGGATGGGGCAGATTTTGTATGTGACTCATCTCCTTCTACTGGAACATATTCCCCCTCGATGCTGAAAAAGAAAAAGTAAACAACATTTCAGCAGTTTCTTAATTTTCTGTTTAATTCATCATCGCTATTATTAATAAATCTATCAACATCCAGGGCTCCTTCATAAATGTGTCCTTACAATGATACTGTTGACACAAGTAGGGTTTGGGAGAGAGAAAGGAGCAGTGACTGTTCAGACATGAGATACTGGCATCATAACATAAGATGCTAAAGGCTCTGCAGCCATGGAACTTACTCAGACACATGTACAAATATGTCTTCTGTGCCACTCTCTGGGGTGATGAAGCCGTGGCCTTGGGAGCGTGAAAACTGCTTACATACACCCTTGTAGACAGGACCAGCGGAAGCACGAGCCGTCCTAGGAAGAAGAAAGAGGTTTGAGACTCAGTCTAAACCACATTGGCATTTCCAGCCAGGAAAATGTTCATGTGTTACCTTTCTACACAACCTCACGGTTTCAAGGCTCCCATTCCCCCCCCCCCACAGTCCAGACTATAGACGGAACAAAATTTTATACCAATTTAGCAAAGCCTCAAAAACTTTTTTGAAATCTGACAGAGGATATCATTTTTAAAAAAACTTACATTAAAAAGCAACTTGCACAATTTAACATCTCTCAATTCAACAACCACCATAGCTAGGAACATCGGGAGAAGTTTGAATTAGAAGAGTGAATTGTTGGTAAGGAAACTCATACTTTGCTTTAGAGTTCTTCCCCTCCCCCCCAAAATGTTTAAACTCTAGTCAAGATGAGTAAGGTTCCTCAAAGCCTCACAGGTCGTACAATTGATGGGGTCCTAAAAAGAGTAGCATTGCTCCTGAACTGCAAGATTCATAGTTTGTGCCAAGGACTGCTCAGAAGACTGTGGGGTATGGATATAAAATGATTCAATAGGACTAGTTGACATGGAATTAACCGAAGTTATCAGAAAATAGTGTCATCGTGGTCTTAGCACACTACCACTTTCCATCAAAGTCTGAAAGAACTCTGTCAGAAATCGACCACAATCAAATAATGAGTACAAATCAGAAAAAACTCAATTCCTCCTCTTCCCAAGCCCCCTTGCCCCGGTATATTCCACATTGTCAAAGTCTAATTGTTAACCAATTTTAGAATGGAAGTTTAGGTGATTCCTAACTTAGTGGCACAGTCTGGTTACTTACGCAGAGTATGTCCTGGTTCTTTTTGTGGGAAGTGGGCTGGGTAAGTCCCGAAGAAGGTGGGCACCTCTCTCACAGATCCGGCTTCCCTCTCTGTTAAAAGGGAAAATTGGCCACACAGGTGACTTTGGAGAGTGGAGAGGTGGCACAGTGGACTGAGAAGTCTGGTCAGATGACATGGTGTGGGTGTCCTCTGGTATGTCAACAGGAAAGAGGTGATCAACGACTCTCAGCCTTTGGGATCAACCTGTCATGCGAACAGAAAAAGAAGAGTCCTAAGTAATGGAAAAGCTGATTGGCAGTGGTGCCACCAGCATGTCTGTGGGCTCCAAGACAATGGTGTATGGAGACTTCCACAGCAGCATTCCAGGGTACTTAAAAACTTGTGTCCATGTTGTCATTAGCCCAGAGTGGAATAAATAGTTCTAACTAGTTGACTGAGGAACTGTGCAGGCTGGGGCTGAAAGGGCAGCCAGATGGAGCTTCTGGAATCATAACCAACTGCCTAATGGAGGGGTAGCCAGTGTGTGTTAGACTCCCAACTCCATCAACCCCAGCAAGCATGGTCAACGAGTCAGGAGAATGGGAGCTGGAGTCCAGCTACGTCTGGTGGGCACCATATCAGCTACTCCTGGTAGAAAGCCTGCAATGCTGAAGACACACACACCACTTTCCTCTTTCTAGCCTTGAGATCAGATCAGCCCAACCTCAGAGACCATTTTAACATCACTTCTAAAAGAGATAAAAATGCTGCAGCTCTGTTTGGATAATTACATTTCATCACACAATGCTACCTTTCGGCACTTCCTATGACATTTCGGGTTTGTCTCTTTTGACCACCACACTGCAAAAGAAAAGAAAAGCCCCCCCCCCTTTAGATGCAGTTGCAACACAGATGCTTCAGGCTTATTTAACCATATGAATTATCCACACAGAACTGTGCAGATAATTAAAAGGTGGCTGCATGACGTCTATGGCTCCAGTATTATCCTCCAAATATCTAGCTTGCTAATCTTTGGTGGGAATTATAACATCATTTGCTTTCTCTCCTTTTGCTACGTGAGCTGTCACTTCAAGGCTAAAGGAATTATTTCTGCAAGTGATCTCACAAGCCCAATCATCTATTCTTCCCATGCTCCCCTGTAGTCCCCCAGTCCACCCTGCTGTGAAAAACAGAAGGATGCTGCAGGCACTGTGATGCTACAGTAACAGCAATACGTGGCCAGGAAAAGAAAGGTAACTAGGTAGGTATAGGGGTGTGCATGAGACACAGAGACAGAGAGGGAGAGGAAAACCAGCTGACTCAAAGAGCACAGACCTGTCACTAAGCCAAAAGAACAGGGGGTTTAAGCGCTCAGCTATTTGGTTAGCAGCAGGCGCCTATTTAGTTGCATTCCTTCTCACTCGCCAAAATGGGTGTTTACATAATGCCATAGTAGAACACAGAGAAATCATGCAAGCTTCCCAACCAGGCATCAGGACTAAATTAGGGCAGCAAAAGACAACAGATTCACCGGAATGCCTCTTGGCCAACTCAAAAACTAGTCCCTATAGCAATAGGGGAAGAAGGCAAGAGCAATAAGGGGATACAGATAACTGGGATGTAATGACCTTAAATATGCATGTCAGTGGTAGTGTGTTTTTTAAATGCTCTAGGCCAGCTGCCTCCATTCCAATGCCTTGATGGACTACAACTCTCATCAGTGTAGGCTCTCCGACAAATGGTAATTGCTTGTGTATATGTTAATTCATTTCTATGCATACATTCAAGACTGACCCCGCTTGATATGGCCAACTAGCATAGTGTAGCAGTTAATATGTTGAACTAGGACCAGGAAACCCATATTCAAATGCCAACACAGCCATGAAACTCTACTCTTGGGCCTAACCTCACTCTCCATACTATAATGTTGAGATGATAAAACTGGGGTTGGGAAAGAGTTGTGTCTGAGGCCTTGAGCTCTTTGGGAAAAGGATGGGATATTAAAATTATATAGAATTCAAGCACATGTTTCAAATTCAAACTCTCCAGTACCACTCAATCATTAACCTGCGACGTGACACTGAAAGCCCAGAACATACAGTATATGCATTTTAAGCCTGCTTAAGTAAGTCCAGAACCAAATACAGATTTTAGAGCGAAATGCTTTCCCACTGACCTTAAGTATTTAACCACTCAGTTTAAGACTAGCTGCAGGGCCAATGGCAAGGTGGGGAAGTCCTCTAACATCTAGGAATAGAGTTGAGGGCAATATGCAGTACAAGGGCTTCCAACACTCAATAGTTTAAACGAGGAAGTAAAATCGCAAGTCCAAAAATGTTCTGTGATAAGCTGGCATTGTGCTAATTTCTTATCAGCCTCCATGTTTCTCACTTGTAAATTATTAAAAGGTTTTATTTATTTTTAAAGCTTATCTCCAGGTCCTTTCAACCATTTAGGTCTCAAAGCAGATTACAATGACAAAGTATTCCATATTAAAAATGTAAAACATAAATTAAAATTATGGTTGCCTTTGACCAATTCTTTATGCAGCTCTGTTTATCAGGTTTGTCTCAGAAGAATATCCGATCAGTTGCAGAGTTATACTTTATATTCAGGTAAGCACAGGGCATGGCTCAGAAGTGAAGTAGAATTAGCTGCACTTCCAAGCCAGAGTGTCGGGACTGAGCTTCAATCTGTTGGCCCTCATCCAGACCATTACTGTTCCCAAGCACTGATTCAGCACCTGAGTCAGATGAAAAGGAGAAAAAGAGATGGATGCCACTGAAATATTGATGGCACCTGACTAGGAATATCTAGATGACCTCACTCACTAGTTTCATATGAAATGTTAAATAGCATGGAAGTTGAAACCCTGTGGGACCCCATGGTATAACTGCCAGACCTCTTCCCGAGCCCAGTCTTCTGGAAATATCTATCGGACCACAACCACTGCAAAGGAATGCCACCGCACCACCACCACCATGGACAGCTTACCTAGAACGATACCATGGATAGTGGTATCAAAGTCACCAAGAGATCCAGTAGAATCAGCAAGGTCACACTCTCCTGTTCAGTGGCAGACTTTGGGCTCTCAAATTTCAGCAGCGTCCTATGTGATGCTCAAATTCGGCACAAATCCACCCACCCCCGCCTCTCACCCTCCATTCTACATCATTGTTGAAGTGCCAGCAACCAGTGCAGCCAATCCAGCCACAGTACCCTAAAGCCAGCTCTGCCCAGTCCTTCTGCCATACGTCATCCATCATGGTGACCAAGGGTATTTCAGCACCAAACACAGGCCTAAGGCCAGATAACCTCCAGTCTGCAAACATAATTAGGCTCACCAAGCTTCCCTATTTAGCCTAAACCAGGGTTTCCCAAAATAGGGTCTTCAGCTGTTTTTGGACTACAACTCCCATCATCCTTAGCTAGAAGGACCAGTAGTCAGGAACAATGGGAAATGGAGTCCAAAAACAGCTGGAGATCCATGTTTGAAAACCCTGGGCCTAAACTATACCCATTTCTATCCACCTGTCTATCACCTGATGTCATAAGGAATCAAGCACAGAACAGATAAACCCACAGGGTCAAGCTGCAGAGGAAGAATTTCCTTTCTAGCTGCTGGTAGAGTTAAGCACTATATTTGAATTTGACAACAGAGAAAGGTGGCGGATTCAAAAAGTACCAAAATCTATCAGTAGCTGGAAAGGAGAATCAGAGTGCATCTGGAGTGTACTCCTCTCAATCCTTCATGTGAAATCAAGTCACTTGACATCACTGGACATAAAAGGACTGACAGGTGGGTAGACCTACCCATCAGGAACTAGCGAGTGCAGTGTAAGAGGCTTGGTCTCCGCTCAGCAGGGATGACAGAAAGGATGACAGAAGCTGTGTTTTGTCTTTAAGAAGAGTCGTCCCAACTCCACTTTAGACCCACTAGTCCTTTTTCGGAAGAAAGGATGAGTGTCGTGGATACCTAGGAACTGGATGTACAGTGGTACCTCGGGTAAAGTACTTAATTTGTTCCGGAGGTCCGTTCTTAACCTGAAACTGTTCTTAACCTGAAGCACCACTTTAGCTAATGGGGCCTCCTGCTGCTGCCGCACCGCCAGAGCACGATTTCTGTTCTCATCCTGAAGCAAAGTTCTTAACCTGAAGCACTATTTCTGGGTTAGCGGAGTCTGTAACCTGAAGTATCTGTAACCCAAGGTACCACTGTATATGGTCACTAGCCATTCTCTGGTTCACAGGAAGTGGAATGGCTTTCCACTGCTATCCAAGTGGATGCTGTAGGCCCATATACTGTAGCCCTACTGGAACAGAGGGGCCTGGCAGGTAGTCAGAAATCATCCCTGAAGAGATATCCATCATTATGTTCTGTGGGTGTGATTTCACTCTCTGTATATTTACAGCCAATGGATTAAACAGCAGGCTAGCAGGATGAAAGAAGTAACACTTGGCATCAATAACTACAGTACTTTGCAGCTTTAGAAAGCAGCAGAACTATTTCATTAATCCCTTGAAATCACGCTGTCTTGCAGTAAGTCTGCTAACAGGCCTACTATAATAGGAAATTCAGAAGAAATGTGAGAGGAGGTAAAAGAATGTAGAAGATCAAACTCTGGCGTCCAAATAATATATTTTCGTTTTGTCCCATACCAAACTTCATTTCCCTGTTCAAAAACCCTTGAACTACTGCTAACAAAATACATTTTATAGCAGCTCTTTCCAGGGTGCCAAGATGACAAGAACCACCATTGTGGGTGGAACAAAGGCGTACCTTCAGGTGGAGAACCTGTAGCCCTCTAGATGTTGATGGACTACAACTTCCATCATCCCTGACCGTTGGCCATGCTGGCAAGGGCTAATGGAAGCTGTAGTGCAGCAACACCTGGAGGACCACACAGAGGCTTGGTCTACATAATCTAGCATTCTGTCCCTCAACCAGATGCTCTGGGAAACTCACAGATAAGGCATGATGGCAACCAGCTATAAAAGCCTAGAGACACCACACGCATTACCAGTCTTCATCATTGCGTATGGAAGTCACCATCCGAAATCCAACATGAAACCACCACAGATTCTACCCAAAAAAATGTCTGTTTCAAGACGAGTCCTGCTAACTATGCAAGGCCTCCTGAGCTTTTTCAGGTGTCACAATTAATAAAAGGTGAAAAGTAAGAATAGGACATGGCAGCAGAGGCCTGTGATATGGCACAAGCAGGCCAAGAAAGGGGATTCTAGTCCATTACTCAAAATGAGAG